TCCCGCCCCCCGACGCGAGGGACACGGAGGTCCGCTGCGTGCACGGTGGCAGCATCAGCTCTTTGGACGTTCCTGATCCCGGTGTGCGTGGTCTGTGCTTCGTCAGCGTGACCTTCACTGCCGCGATTGTGCTGGACCTGTCGTATTTCGACGCACCACAGCAGACACTCAACATCACACTGCTGCAGTGCGTCTTCATGGGCCTGTCGATCAAGGGGAGTGGTGCATGCGTGCACGTGAACGTGGTCTCCTCGATGCTGGATTCTGGTGAGCTGGTTTTTCAGGGCCATTTTGGTGCGAGCTCCCAGATACTGGTGGCGGGAAGTACGATTGTGACGACGTCGGGCCACGCCATTTTATTTGTGAAGTTTGCTCTCAGTGCGAATATGACGCTGCTGCTATTCGACAACTACATTGAGGGGAGTAAGTACGCAGTCTATTTCATCGATGCTGTTGTTGTTGATGGTGGCGGGATTATTGTGAAGGGAAATACGCTGAGCACAACGAATGACGATGAGGGTGTGGAATCATCTGTTTGCGTTAATGCTGTTGATGTGAGGAACGGCGGCTACTTTGACGTGGAGAACAACACGATGAGCGCGGTCAATGGCGTTATTCTTCTTGGGGATACCACCGTGAGCTCCGCGGGGCTGCTGCGAGTGGCGGACTGCACCTTTGTCGGCGGGACAGAAATTTTTGATTCCGCGCTGGTGTATTTGTCTGGCTCGGTGACATTCGAGGGTGGTGCGCAGTGGCGCGTGGAGGGCAACAGCGTGGGTGCAGCCTCAGTATTAACTATTCCGTATTCCCAGTACAAAATTCAGCTGTTGGGCAGCGGCACCACCGTGGTGCTTGCGCACAACCGTCAGGTGGACTCGACGGTTTTATTCGCTATTTTTTTTCCATCGAGCATTGTTGTTGCGTTACCCGCGCGGTTTGTGGTTGGGTGCAACCTGCAGGGTGATGAGGAGGTGTCGGACGACGATGTGTTTCCGGAGGACGTGGTGCTTTTCAGGTGCGGCACGTGCAACGATGACGCGGCGTGCTACATGCCCGGGACGGAGTCGGTGGACCGCAGCTCGTGCTCGTGCAGCTGCAAGGACGGATGGCATGGCGCGTCGTGTCTTCCCTTCGAGGTGCCCGACGCGGTTGTGCTGCCCGTGCCGGAGAGAGCTGTTGACGGCGACACGAGCTGCGTGGTGAACCAGACGCTGACGAGCCTCGCGCTGAAGATGTGGAAGACGCACCACTGCTACGTGGGCGTGACATTCAGCGGCAGGCGTTCTGTGCTGACGTTCTTCCTCAACAGCATGCCGCTGCATCTCCCCATCAACATCACGCTCACCGGGTGCACATTCCGTGAGGGTGCCGCGCTGCAGTTTGTTGGGGGCGTTGAGGCGGTCGAGTCGTCCGGCGTCCTGATCCGCGTGAGCCAGACGGTGATGCGGTCCTCCGTCGTTGTGTTTGCGCTTGCCCTCCCGCAGCGCTGCGACATCGCCATCACGGAGGTTGATGCGGTGCAGGCCTTCGAGGTTCAATTGCCGGGCACTGAGAACAACATGCTGAGCGTGGTGATGTTGCGGAATGTTGTTTTGAGTGCGTCAACGCTGTTGGTGAGCAACGTCAAAACGCATGCAACGAGGTACGGTGCTTTTGGTTTGTACTCGACTGGGACACTGACGCTGGTGGGTGGCAGCTCGCTGTACACGCGGTACTGCAGCTTTGATGGATACAAATACCTGTTTTACGTGCAGAGTCTCAGTGTGAGTGACCACTCCGTTTTTGCACTGCTCAACAATACGATGTTCTCCGGGGTAAGCCTGCTGCATCAGCACCAAGGATTCAGCGTGTCGGATTACAGCGTGCTGCGCGTGGTGGGGAACAGCGGCTCAGCTCGCTACGCCATCTATAACGATGACTTGTGGACTGTTCAGCGGTCAAGCTGGTTGGATTGGCGCGACAACGACGTGGAATTGGGTGCGATGTTCTACGACACTGAGTCCGCATTTGTGACCATTGACAGCAGCAGTTTTGTGACGCTGACGGGCTGCAGGATGGACTCGACGGGGTTGTTGGGACCCCTGCTGAAGCGGATTGAGGCCGGTTACCGTTTCGTTGCTGGGTGTCTGACGGTCGCGGGACGGGAGGTGACGACGGCGGCTGAACTGGAGCTGAACGGCATCACAGGCGTGACGACTGTTGCCGCGTGCGGGCAGTGCACGAAGGAGGGCGACTGCTTTGCTCCGCTGACGACGGCGGTCATTGGCTGCATGTGCCAGTGCGCTGCTGGAGGGCACGGCGATGTGTGTGTCCCGGCGCCTGTGCCTGCTGGCTCGCCACCGCCGCCGCTGCCACCAGTGCCGCCCACACCGCTGCCACCGCCGGTTGGTGAGTGCATCAGCGACATGGTGTACCCCGAGGTTGCGCAGGCTGTGGGCGGCGGGATGTCGTGGCTGTGCTACCGCAACGTGACGTTCAGCGGAGGCAGCATGAGGCTAACGGTGCTGATTGGGGCGATGACGGGCGACGTGGCGAATGTCACGTTCGATGGATGCACGTGGAGGGACGGCGCCGTGCTGTTGCTGTTGGGCAACGCGTACGCCGCTGTGGGGTCGCTGAACATTGTTGTCACCGGCAACACATTTAGTGACGCGCTGCTCATCCCGGAGGGTGTGTTTCCACCGCACACGAACATCACGATCAGCGGGAACTGCTTCACTGTCACGAGGCTGATCCCTCGGCCGTGTTTGGACATATGGAACCAGTCATGCGTTGCGATGAATGGACTGGCGATCAACAACGACTCCGCGGTGGTGTTCAGCGGCAATGTGTTTCAGAGCGTGACGGCATCGTCAAGCGCCATTTACGTTGTCAGATCTGCGCTGAGGGTGTCGTGGCACTCCGTGTTTGCGGTGGTGGGCAACACGTTTCATATGGCTGGCGGTGACGGTACGCTGATACATCTTGAAGGGTCCAGCCAATCCTCATCACTGAGTGTACTGAACAACTCTGCCGTGGTGATCCGAGGCAATCTTGTGACGAGGCCCGTGAGGTACTTTTTATTACTAACTTTGACATTACGTGTGGAGTCTCGGTCAGCGGTTGTGTTTCAGGGCAATGAAATAAAGCAGAGCTTGGTTGTGTTTTTCCCAGGCTTTTCTTCCTACATCTACTACAACTCCTGGCTGCAGCTGAGCGGCAACCTCTGCCGTGAATCCCCATCGGAAGCGTTTGTTTTTCTTTATCCCACGGTGAATCTCCGCGACTCCACGGTGTCTGTGTCCGGCAACCGACTCATGTCCAGCAGGGTCACGCCAACAGTTCTGCGGATATCCACGGGGTCCCTCGATCTCACAAACGGAGCGATTGTGGCTGCGTGCAACACCGTGAACGGCGAGGAGGAAGCGAAATACGTCATCCCGTCCGTGTACAATGCCACCATTCTGGCATGCAGCGACCCATGCACTATTGCGACTTCGTGCTTCCCCGCGTACACGACGACGGCCTCGAGTGATGGCTGCGCCTGCACGTGTGCTGAGGGCGGCCACGGCGATGCGTGCCTGCCCGTTGCTGCTCCCGAGCCGCCGAGCACCGACGGCGCCGATTTGTGCGTGCGGGACGTGCGTGTGGATGAAGTGGTGAACGCCGGTTTCGGGACGTCGGTGGTGTGCTACGTTGGCGTGACCTTTGCGGCAGATGTCGTGGTGGACGTGGCGTCGATGTCAGGGAGCGTGCGCAACGTGACGCTGGCGAACTGCACGTTTGTGGGCGGAGCGAGCCTGTACGTTGTCGGGTGTCGTTCCGATCCGCCTGCTGGCGAGCGCGCCGATGTGTTGATCAGCGGGCTTGAGTCGCGTTCTGGAGGCGGTGCGCTGGTGGCGAACCGATACCCGCCGGGCTCGCGCGTCACTGTGGTGGACTCGGTGCTGATCGCAGAGAAGCGTGTTGTGTACCATGACGCCTACGACCTTGGCGCCGCCTCCGCGTGCCTCGTGTTGCACAACGTGAATTTGACGGGGAGCGTGCTGACCATCGCGCGCACGCATCTGGCGGCTGTGTTCCGCGGCGCCGTTGGCGTGTTGGTGGTTGGCGGCGTGGCGCTGTCGTCGCGCGGTGCGCTGTACGTGGACAGGCTGTTGGTGCAGACGGCGCTGGGGCTGTGCGTGTCGGTGGAGGGCGGTGTTGCGGCCAGCGGCGGCTCCGTGGTGGCGTTTGTTGACAGCGACTTCCTGCTGTGCAAGCACGCGGTGTCTGTGCGTGGGGCTGTGAGCGTGTCGGGCTCTGCTGTGGCGCTTGTGCGGAGCGAATTTTCGTCGACGGAGGACTACGCGGTGGCGTTTTATTCGACGGTGAGCCTGGATGACGGGTCGATGCTACTGGCGAAGGGCAACGTGCACGACGGTGTCTCGAGGGAGATGCTCTACGCCGCTGGCGCCGTGACCGCTGCTGGGAGCACGCTGAGCTTTGTGCGCAACCGAGCGCTGCTGCCACGGATGCTGTCGCTGAGCCTGTTGCTTGCGGCTGGGGCGTATGTGAGGGTGGCGTGCAACGACGCTGGTGGACGTGTCCTGTTGACGGCGGAGGAGTACGCAGCGGCTGGTTTTGGCGACGCTGGGAGCATCGACGTTGCTGGGTGCGACGCCTGCGACAGGGACACGCACTGCTACGCGCCCGGGACGGCGTCTGCGAGCATGAGGAACGGTATGTGCGTGTGCGCGTGCGGCAGCGGCGGGTACGGCGAGGTGTGCGTGACTATGGGTGCTCCTGCACTGCCGCCCGCTGTGGGCACCGCGTCGAGAGTGTTTGTCCGCGAGAGCGTGACGGTGCGGTCGGTTTTCTTTGTGCCTGCTGGCGCGAGCGAGGTGACGCTGCGCCACGTTGTGCTGGACGGCGTGAGTCCTGTGCTCTACGTGCCGTGGATGGCGCGGGACGGCGTGCGGATCGTTGTGCAGAACGTGTCGCTGCTGAACGATGCCGTGTTGTACGTGATGGGCGGAGGAGGCTTGCGCGGTGCGGTGGCGGCGGGGAGCGACGAGAGCGGGCCGGTGGAGCTGTCCGTGTGCGATGTGGAGGCGCTGAACGGTGCGCTTGTGCTGACCGGCACGTTTCCCGCGGGGTCTGTGCTGACGGTGACGGACTCCCTGCTGGTTGCCGCGACGTCGACGCCGCTTGTGTATCTTCCCGGCTCGCAGTCCTTGCCGTACGCACCGGTGCTGGTGCTGTCGGGCCTGCGGCTCGTGCGGTCCGTGCTGGTTGTGTCCGGTGTTGCCCTCGTGACCGTGGTGACTGGTGGGCGGACTGTGGCGGTGGACGGCGCTGTGCTGGAGCTCGTCGGTGGCGGTGTCGCGCTGGACGCGGCTGTGCTCGGTGGCGAATATGCGTTGTACGCGAGTGCGCGCGTGGTTGCGTCGGGGGGCGCTGTGCTGCGCGTGTCGGGGAGCCAGTTGTACGCTGCGCATGGGTTGGTGTTTGACAGCGGTGTGGAGGCCAACGCGTCCGCCGTCGTAGTGAACGACAACGCCGGTGCGCTGACCGATGGCGCGCTGCTGGTGCTGCGGGGGTCGGCGTCGTTTGGGTCCGGGTCGTGGCTGTCGGTGCGCGGCAACAGCATCAGCGGCAGGCTCCTGTCGGTGCCGTCGTACCCGCGCAGTGCGGACCTTGTGCAGAGCACGCTGACGCTCCACGGGAACGCCGGCAGTGGGCCCGTTGTGATGGACGGCACCGTTGCGCTTGTGGGCGCCGGCCGAAGGTTCGTCGTGGGGTGCCTGACGCTCAACGGGCAGGTGCTGCGGCCGATGGACTACAGGTCCGCCGGCATCATCGGGGAATTCCGTCCCGTGGCGTGTGGGGTGTGCGACGCCGACGTGAGCTGCTTTGCCGCTGCGACGAGGGCGATGTCAGGGTCGTGCGGCTGCCGCTGTGCTGAGGG